GAAGGAGGGTATATGAGATATATGACGTCTGGGCTTGATATATATTTTTTAAGAATTCCAAAATATTCAACATAAAAATGCGATCTAAGCCTTTCCTGTAACTCTCTCTCTCTGGCAGATTTATGATAATGGGGCTATAATGCTTTAACAAGACAGCAAAGAGAATAAATGGCTCTTTAGCTGAGAAAGTAGGGGAAAATGGTTCTTTAATCATCACTATCCATAAAGAATCCAGATAAGAGGTCCCCCCCCCCACTCACCCCCGTCACAGAATAGCAAATATTCCATGAGGAAAATAATCCCCATTAAAGCTACATCTTGGGCCTAAAAGCTTTTAAGAAAGGTGATGTCAGCTTTGTGATAGCATTTATCCCTCTGCGGTGTACTTCACTAGTGAGCACCAATATCTGGTTGGCTTCTCCTTCTGGATTCACAGTTTACCCTTCTGAGCCTGGGCTCAGGTGGGTGTGGCTAGTTCTGACCAATGAGCTATGAGAGGAAGGGATGAAGAACAGGGAGCAGGGGTGAGATCACCAGGCTTTTCTTGCCCCTCACAGTAATCAAGAAAGCTGGGAAGTGGGGACAATGTATCTACAAGTGGAGAAGCTCGTGCCAACCCCTGGAAGATATGTAACTTGAGCAAGAAATGAGTCTGGGTTGTGTTATACTGAGATTTGGGAGTTGGTACTGTCTCATAACCTAGTCTGATTGCTGCACATTTCCTCCCTTAACAGAAGTCACTCCGTAGTCATTGATCCCAGAACTGAAATTATTAATCTAATATGATCCCAAGACGAAAACTTCAAGGGGAAAACTTGCCCATTTTATTGTAGTGTCATTGGCTCTGCGTAGTTGAATTGATCTCAGCCCTGCAATCCAAAGCTAATAAATGAAGGTCCATCCACGGATGTCAAATATATGTTCTTTCTCAGGTAAACAGTGATTTTTCCTGATGGCTGCCTGGAGTGGTGGTTTGAAAATGATTCTGAAGCAAAGTATTAGCTATGCAGGGAAGATAACACAATTGATTAGTGATGTCTGTTGAAGGAATGGGCACACGAAGCTGGGGCAGGGGTGGTGGTCTCTGCCATCTTTGGGCCTCACCACTGTCAAAGGGATGCACATACTCTTCCCAGATGTCAGTAGTGATGAGATCTTCGTAAGCCACTCAGCCCTGCCCTGAGTTGCCTCCATGGGGAAAAAGATAGAGTTAAGTTGTAGATTCAGCACTAGTTCATTTTGAGCTTGCAGACTTGATCAGGTATCTTAAACAGAACACCGGAGTCACATTCTAAAAGTGTGCTACCTGATATCCTACTTGAGGAAGTTATCAAAGATATCCTTGGTAACTACCAAGAGAGCTTGATATATAAAACAGTCAGAATTCCGACATGTCGGTCCCTTCTGACCCATCACCATGGTCCTCCACTGAGCCTCCTTTCCAAATTCATCTTACTGTTTTACTGAGAGACACACTCAAGCTGAAGCTGGGGTTGAATGAGGCAACGTTTTGACAAGTGTAGCTGCTGCATGAATGCTTAGGACCTGGCTGTCGCAGGGGAAGATGAGCTTCTTCTCTCTCCTGCTCTTTGCATAGACATTTCAGCTCTCACCAGGACTTCCACTAACACTGAAGGGGTGAACTAATCTTCACTGAGTGCCACTGTGAGCCCAGGGTACGCCAGCAGCTCTACAGGCGTTAGCTCGCTTAATCTTTCCCAAATCCTAGGAGGCAGATACTATTTATTTTTACAGATGACGAATCTCAAACATAAAGAGGTTAAAAATCCAGCCCAAAGTTTCAGTAAGTAAATCTGGAAATGTATGACTCTGGGGCCCATGCTTGGTCCAGTATGTGATAAAAGAAAACAAATCTAATTGCTTACTAATATCTTTCATTCGATAGAAAGGGGAGGTTAAAAATTACTGATATGAAATAATTTAATGTAGTGGTTCATAACAAGAATTTCAGAGTCAAAGAGTCTTTAGTTTGAGGACTCGCTCCACAGTTTTGTTTTGTTTTGTTTTGTTTTTGTTAGTTTGTTTGTTTTTACCTGTGAGACCTCAGACAAGTGGTTCAGCCTCATTTTTCTCATCTGTAAAGTGAGAATACTTAAAAGGTTTACTACTTCATCTTCCCATGAGTACTTAATGAGATTATACATATAAAGTGAATAGCAGACCTTGGCATATGGTAATTTTTTTTTTTAAAAGCTCTCATTATTCTCAATGATTTTTAATTCTTTCCTCAATGCCTAATTATCACAGGCAAATTTAAAATTGGTTGTTTTACATTAAAGTTGGCTGAATGAAAAAAATAATATTCATTTTAGAGAAAATTTCTGCCAAATAAATGTCAAGTTTACTAAGATCTAAAAGCTTGTTTAACTGATCCATATAGGGATTTTTCCACACGTCTGTTTCTTTCAGTTTTCTATTATGATAGACTGCAACCAAATGCCATGTCTTACACTGCCTCAGACTCAAAAAAAGTATTTAAGGTGTGGCCCGAGGGCTGATCCATTATTTTACTAAAAGTAAAAAAAGTTTAGATTTTCTCCTAAACCTCATTAATAGCATGTAGAGTTACAATGACCCCTGTTCTTTGATTGAGATTTTTCAAAACCACTGTCAAAAGAGAAACCATTTGCAGTAGGCCTGAACTGCCAATTGGAAGAATGGAAATGCAAGTCACTGAGATCACCAAGGTCATCAAGACATATTAAGGAAACGTAGCAGTCAGGATTCTCCAGAAAACAGAAGCAATAGGTGAATGAGTGAGTGAGTGAGTGTGTGTGTGTGTGTGTGTGTGTGTGTGTGTGTGTGTATGTATGTATGTATCTTTCTATCTACCTATCATCTTTCATCTATCTATCTATCTATCATCTATCTGTCTTTCTATCTGTCTACAGAGAGAAGGGGAGACAGATTTATTTTAAGGAATTGGTCTATGTGGTTGTGGAGATTGGCAAGTCCAAAATCTGCAGGAAGGCCAAAGGGCTGTACACCTAGGGCAGAGTTGCAGTTCGAGTCTGAAAACAGTCTTTTGCCAGATTCCTTTTTGCTAGAGGCAGGTCAGTCTGTCTCTAGAAAAGCCTTCTGTTGATTGGATAAGGACTACCCACATTATAGAAGATGATCTGCTTTACTCAAAGAATATTGATTTAAATAATCTAATTTAAAAAAATAACCGCAAAACATCTAGAATAATGTTTGACCAAATACCTGGGTACCATGGCCTAGCCAAGTTGACATATAAAATTAACCATTGCAGGAGGTCATGTTCTATTTTGGGCTAGTGTTTTCATCTATAAAATTGCCTGCATCCTACATCAAATAAATCCGTCTCAATAGCCCTGCAAAAATCCATCTGTCCCTCAGAGGAAAAGGAAGATAATAGGGTATTATTATTCCCTGACCACTCTATGAGATGTGCCCTAATCTGAGTTTGTTCTTGGCTTCTCTTACTACTGTTGCAATTGACACCACATTTTCAAATCCCGTGGACCAATATAAGAGAAGCAAAGGCATGTGCAGATGTCTATGAGGACATGGAAAGAGAAAGGGAGAGTTCATATGTCTTTAGCGGCTTTTCAGTGGCTGTTAAAGAGATTCTCAACCATATGTCTTCATATGCTTCAATAACATGGCATTTTCCTTTCATTTAAAATGTGTTTAATCTTTTTCCAGACCCTGATGTCTGGAAATAGCTGAGTTGTAGGCAGAACTGTTCCCTTTACCCAGGCATTTGCTATAGCTCAAGTGCAGGCTGGAGACTAAACAACAGACACTGGAGACTGAGTAATGAAATACAATAACAAGAATACTGCTGCCAGGCTGTAGAGATTACGTGAGATAGTGGATGTAAAAGTTAGGATTTGTGCTAACTTTCTTCAGTTTACTCCCCAGCTCCCTTTCTACCCTTCCCCATCTTTGATGGCAGGTCTGGCTGCTGGTTGTGCTGTGTTCAGCCAATGGGAGCAATCGTGCGAGAGGAGGAAGGGGGAGGAAAGTAAGATCTCTGAGAGGTCTCATTGGGTTAGCTGTGTTCTTAGACCCAAAGTCACAGCTCCTCTCAGTTGCCCTTTCTGCAGAACTCCTGGGTTCCAGTCAGTCCCCCTTCAGACTGGGGTGGTATCTACTCAGTGTTGCGAGCCCTGGGGTGCCACCTATCCTGTAGGGTTGTCCTCCTCCCTGGCCACAACTTGTGAATAGTCTCTCCAACAAAAGCTCTTCTAATTACCTAATTTGACTATGCTACCTGTGCCTGCTGGGGTCAAGTATAAAGGGATTCAACATGTTATTTTTCTCTTTTTAAAAAGAGTTGGAATAAAAAAAATTCTCTAAAACATTTCTGAGATTTTTGCAAACCATAACTAAATGAATACCTTCTGATGTTACTCAGTGTTCTTTAAGCGCCCATGTAATAAGTTCCTTCTTAAATCTAAAGCCTAAAACAAATAGTCTTTATCCTGCTATGAGAAATCACATAATCCTTAGCATTTGCCTTTTTATCCTAATTTCAAGGAAACTCAAGTGTTCAACTCAGTGTTTATCGTCAATGATTCAGTCTAATACTCTGTAACAACTATTTCTCTGCTCCTTAAAATGTTTTTAAAAACTAGTTTTCATCTTGCTTCGCTGTTGTCTTTTTTCACTGTTTTCAGTCTGGTGAGTCACCTATTTGGGGACAAAGGAGAAATACATCTTAACAAATAAATATTTCAATATAAAAATCATGCCTGTATCAGTATTAAGACTATGCAAAAGAACAAAGAAACCCAGGTTAATAAGGGTCCACTTGAAAACAAGCTCCAGAGGCAAGCAGCAAAATGCCAGGAGAAGGCAGATCCCACCCATAAGTACCTGAGTCCAGGCAGCAAATCCATAACCAGGCCCATCTCTCCATCAACTGGAAGTAACCCCAGCCCTGGATACTATTTCGGTTTCTTCAGTTTCCTGTGGGTCTTAACAGTCATTTAGGAACGGCCCAAACTTACTCTTGGTGTGGAGCTCCTGTCTTGGTCAGCAAGGTCAGCACAAAAAACATGAAAATTACGAAGACTGCAAGACCAACCCAAAATCCAATCACAATGGAATCTGCAAGACAGTTAATATTGGGATTAGTATTTCACAGCAGCTGAAAACTTGAACATTCAAGGGATCTGAGCTTTCTGGTACATAAAATGAGAGAAGACATCAATAATCTTATGATGCGATCTTTTCTCTTTTTTTTTTTTGGTAGAAGCTTTATTCATAATAGCCACTCCCTCCCCCGCCACTCCCTCCCCCACCCCTAACCTCCCCCCACAAAAAAAAACCTGGAAACAATGTAAATCAGTATGCGAAGGGATGAACAAATGCGGTCTACTCATACAGTGAAATACTACATTGTAGTATAAATGGAAGAACTGCTATACATGACTTTATGAGACAATCTTGACCCATCCCTCATCTGAGGACATATGAGATATACGGAATGAGAGAGAGTGAAGTATCTGTCACCGCTGGGTTTCTGTCTCAGATAACACTAAGAGACTTTGGCCTTACTGACTCTTGGTTTCCACATCCCGGTGAAGGAACCTAGGCTGTGTAGGTCTTTAAGATTTCACTGAAGTGCCTTGAGCTAGCGAATACAGTTTTTAGTAGAGATTGCATTTCCATTTAATTTGAAAATGCAAAATTAAATACAATATGAAGTTTTAAAAGAATTCTTATTCAAAACAACCCAATTTTGTAATTTCACTTCTGTTCACACTGGAATAGCTCAGGTCTTCATTATCTTTTGCTAACACGTGAATGGCGTCCTGCGGGCTCTGTCTTCTATCTTTCTGTGTGTTTCATCTCTGTATGAACCTCCTTTATCACAGCTCTGATATCTCTTTTATGAAAAATTCTTCAACAAAGATGAAATTGACCTTTTCCAGATTAAAAAGGATTCCATACATAAAGCGCTTTATACAATGTTTGTCATCTGAGAAGATGGTATCCCACATTTTCCAGCTATTATTATTAAAATTATCATTTTCTTCCAGCTCACCCCTACTTTAAATCCTATGTTTCCCATCAGACTTAGGGACATTGTGTCCCTGTATTTACCTTAACTCTTAGCCACAGCTTCCTAAGACCCAAGCCTTTTCAGGGGCTCTTACCTTTACCTGGCTGGAAAACCCTGCCCCCACCTAGAGCTGATAAAAGTCCATCCATCCTTCCAAGCCCATTCCTTACGCCACCTCCTTCACCAAGGACTAATTTCCCCACCTGAGGACTCTCTCCTTCCTCTGAGTCTCATGACATTTTGGTCATGTGCTTCTCTCCATGGCCCTTCCTTGGCTAATAGTCACAAGTGTATGTCTCTGGGATAGGAATGAGACTGGACTATCTACAGAACCTGGCATATACATAATAGGGTCACAAATCTGGGGGAGACAACAGAGTTGAATCATTTTATATTTTCTGACCTATTCTAATAAGTTTATCTACATAGAAATACAGTGGGGATGCTTACCGGTTGAAAAAATTGGAGCTTATATACTAAATGTGATTAAATGCAAAACATTCTCTGTATACATAACATTTTTCCTAAAGTGAAGAAATCAGATTAGAAATTTACTCTGCATATTCATATTTTTATTCTCCACATACTATTGCTTGGAGGTTAACAACTTTTATTTAACAACATTTATTCATTACTCTGGATGCAAAATGAATATATCTTTCCTGGAGTTAAGCGTGCCAAAAAATAGAAACTGTAGACTTTGTCTTATAATGGAAACGAGGCCTAAAAAGTTCATAAGGTCAAATATCAAGAACACATGTATACAAGTGCAACTAACATATAACAGTAACATCTCAATTATGGGGGTACTGCTCATTTATTGTACAGATAAATGAGAGCACACTGTATTTCAACTGCTTGCATAGCAAAAACAAATTCTAAAGTAATACACCAGCATTAAATTCTCAATTGAGGATTTAATCTAGTCGTTTTGATTCATTTTTTAAATGTTTACTAGGAAGGACATCTTTCACGCTGCAAATGATGCCTGCATCCCCTCCACTTCCTAAATCCAAGGTGGGCAGAGGTGGAGAAAAGGTGCCTTTAACCCAGCCCAGTTCCCTCCCCTTGCCCTGCTAGTGCCCCAAAGCAACAATAATGTGGGACATGGGAGGTTCGCAGCCCTCAGGGAGTTGGGGGAGCAGAGTGCAGATGAGGAGGACTGTGGTTAGAATTTGAGAATCCCCATGATCCAACATTTCCAAATGTTTTCTTGATAATGCGGTATCTGTTTCTCATCACGTTTCATTTAACTTTGCTTATATGTGTTGCTTTGCTTATTCACATTCCCCCTCAAATGAAATTCTGCTTCTTTAAATTATTTCTATTACTTCTCTTCTGCTCATCCTCTGCCAAGTGGCCCAACCCCAGGGTACTTTCTCACCCTGAGCCCCTTTCCAATATCATGGGAGATTCCCCATCTCATCCCAGGAACATCCAAACTCTCTTGAAATTTTATTTATATGCCAAGTTTCATGAGCATGGGCACTGTAGTAAAATAGGAACATGCAGCCCCTGGTCTTCCTCAAAACACCCTTTCTTGGAAGGAAGTCAGAATAGCAGTTTACATAGAGAGAAGCTCCAATGAGGCCAGTGGTTAAGGATGCCAAGAGAAGCCTTCCATAGAGGGTTCTAATGGAGCCAAGCGGCCACCCTGTCCTGTCTAGAAAATGAGCTACTCTGAGAGCATTATAGTAAGGGAGTAGAGTACATTGCTCAGGGAATTCCAAATGGGATGTGTCATAATAAAATAACTTCCCCTTAACCTGACCTCTAATGAATGGAACGAAATGAGAGCTGAAAGCTCACAGCTGCACGTCTTTGACTGGTACGGTCTTTTCTCCATGTAGTATCTTTTCTACTCTAAGGTAGGACTATAGCAACTACCTCATCTTTCACCACTTCCTCTCCACTTCCTAAGAATAAATTGTGATCTTTCCTTCTCATGGTTGTGTGTAAAACAAAGGTTAATATTTAATTTGAAAGACAGGGTTCAGGATACCAGAGCCAGCAATGTCCTCACACCACTTCTGGTTCCTAAGGTGTCAGGGTCAGTTCTATGGTATGAATTCCTGGCAAGGGGCCAACAATGATGCTCCAGGATTTCTCTCTACTATGCCCACAATGTCCTGTCTTATTCCCAGCCTTCACAAGCTCTCACTCTGCTTCTCAGCTTGCGAACCTAGCTTCTTACTGACACATCCATGCACGTATCTGGCGTTATCTGTAAGCTGGCATATGATAAAAGCATGGAATGTCACCACCACTGATGGCTCAAAATAAGAGGATGCTCCTTCAGTCTTTCCTCAGTGCAGAAGCTAGAGTGGTCCTGCTAAGATGTAACCATGTCCACTCATTGACTTATAGGCTTTTGCTTCTGCTTCTCAAAGAACACCCTGTCTCACCCCGCTAAGCCCTGCATAAATGTCCCATTTCTCTTCTTTATAGCAAAATTCTTGAGAGATCTGTCTGTACGTACCGTCTCCAATTCCTCTCCTCCTGTTTTTCTTGAACCAAGTCCATCAGCCTTCCCCTCCCAACACTTTACTAAAATGCTTTTAAAATCATTGCCACAAACTTCTACATTGTAAATCCAACAGTTAAGTCTTAGTCCTCACCTAACTTGACACAGACCATCGTTTCATCCTTGAAATCCTTTCTTCACTTGACTTCCAGGAAACCACAATTGCCCAGTTTTCTTCCTCTCTTTCTGGAAATTCCACTCAGGTTCCTTTGCTGCTGTCTTCTCAACACACCTCAATTTCTAAATACGAGCATGTCCCAGGGCTCAATGCTTGGACCTCTTTTGTTTACCTACACTCATTCATCCAGTATCTTGAGTTTGAATACCACTTATATGCTGATGACTCTCAAATTTCACTGCACACCTCCCCCCTCTGTGTCTTCTTGGATGTCTGATAAGTCTCAATTTAACACATCCAAAACTGAGCTCATGAACTTCTTGCTTCTTCCACAGTCTTAGTTAATGGCAAATCATCCTGCCAATTAGTGAGATCATAAATCTTCAAATCATCCTTGGCCCTTCTCTGTCTCTTCCACCCCTTTGCCAATCTATTGACAAATCCTTCTTCATCTATCTTCAAAAAGTATCCAAAATTTATATACTTCTCACCACTCCACTGCCCCCAACATAGTCTAAGCCACTATCGCCAGCTGCCTGGACCACCGCAATAGCTCCCTGACCGGCTCTGCTTCCAATCTTATTGCCCTCCTTCTCCTGCTGCAGAGTGGTTTTATTGAAGCCAGGTACCATACCACTCCTTTTCTCCAAACCCTGAAATGACTTCTCAAAAAAAAAAAAATAGAATAGAATCAAAGTCATTAGCGTGACTTCTAGGGCCCCTGTGCCCTCTTCCCCATTCCCTGACTTCATCTCCTGCTGTTCTGCCTCTTACTCACTCCCTTGTGCCATGCTGGCCTCACTGTTGATCCTTAAAGGTTCCAGTTCATTCCTGCCATGGAACATTTTCTGGAATGTTCTTCCCCAGATGTCTTATAGCTCAATCTCTCACTTCCTTGAGGCCTTTTCTCAAATTTTTCCTTCTCAGTAAAGCCTTCCATAGCCACTCTGTCTATACTTTCACCTACATACTTCACATCATCTTCTTCTCTTTTATTTATTCTTTTTTATTTATTTTTTTAAATCACCATCTGGCATGGTTTAATTATTTAACTTATCTATTGTCTTTCTCTTCCACTGGAATTCAAGACCGACATGAGGAGGTATTTTTGTCTTTTATGTTCACTGTTTTATCTCCAGTGCTTAAAACAGTACTGCACATACAGGCACAATAAATATGTGCTGAATGAATGAAAGTTAATTCCACTGGTACCAAATATATGTCACATATATATCTACTTCTGATACATTATAAGGTTTAAAACCAGATTAAAAGCTGAGAGCAAAAGGAAAATTCAAATGGCCATGAGAGGTTGTTTCTCAGATGAAAGACCCTTTGAAGGTAGGAATCTTAATTTCAGCAGCCAGAAGAACCTAGTCTAACTCAAGATGTAGCTATTG